TAAGTAAGGTTATAGAGCTTTACAAAGGTCTAGTTTAATTACTATATAAGGTATTATAGTAAGTATAAGACATTATGTAAGAAATAGGAAAGTTTAGAAGAAAATTAGTAATTAAATACTTAGCTTAGAAGTCTAAGCGCTTTAGGTATAAATTAAGCCTGTTTTAGGTTTAGTTAGTGTTAAAGCAGTTTATGCTTAAGTTTATGTCTGTGTTGTGTTGTGTTTATGTTAGACGTGCACTAATAATACTCTAGTACGCGTCTGATACAGTTATGTCTGGGATCCGGGGAGGATACCGTGACAGTATCTTATATAGTAATGTTTCTCTATTAATTGCTGTAGACTACTAGTTGCGCCTTACATCTTTATAATCTATAGTGCCTATTAAGCTTGTAAGTGTACACCTACATATAATCTAAGATCTGCTGTCTAGCTGCCTTAATTAGCTTTGTCTAGACCTCTATCTAAGATTTTATTATTTAATAACTATCTAAGTGTGTTTTTTCTACTGCCTTAAACATTTTATGTAAAAAGTGCTCTTTTAGTTACTTTTAAGTTAATAGTAAAGGTAGTAGCTAGCTTTTATAAAGTGTTTTTCTTTTAAATAGCATTTTTATTAATGCTACTTTATTTAGTGTCTTACTGCTATGCTTTTCTACACTTCTAAATCTTATACTAGCTATAAAGGCTGTAGCCTATAGTACAGTTTTTAACAACTTTATTTAGCTTAGCTTTAGTGCTGCTCTAGCTATTAACTGCATAAGTAATGCTGCAGGTGGCAGAGTATTTAGAGAAAATAAATAGTTATCTCTAATCTTTTTTTTAATAGTAGCCTAGTAGGTTTACTTTATTAAAATTTAATATATTATTTATAGTATTATTTTTATAGAATAACTTTGTCTCTAGCTAATAACTAGGTGTTAGAAGCTTAATTATTTTAATATATATAGTAATTTTTTTTACTATGTTATATATAAAGTTATCTATTAGGTCTTTAGGCTTACTACTAAAGATTAAGTGTTTATTAAAAATAATGTTATGTGTATAAATTACTTTTGCTAGCAGTAGTATCTATATGCAGTAGATGTTTAATAATTAGTACTTAACTAAATATCTAATCTACACCTTTAGGTCTAGCCTCTGTAGCTTAGATTTATTCTAATATGTGTTATTAGTTATTATAAATGCTTTACAGCTATAGGCTTTTAGATGTGTAAAGCTTAGCTTTTAAATTAATATAACAACTTTATTATTTAAAGCTACTTATGTAAAAAAGATCTTATATAGTGTCTTCTAGTTATTAGCATAGTTTAGCGTCTAATTATATAGGTATACGCTAGCTCTAGTAATGTATAGCTATATGTTTTATAGTAGGTTAGTATCTAGTTACATAGCCTATAACTTTTTTTGTTTACACTCTTTAAGTGTTTAGCTTCTCTGTTCTAGGCTTATGTATCTAGTGCTAAAGGCTTAATAGTTATTCTATGTAGTGCTAGCTAGTGTTTTACCTCTAGTTTTACTATTATAATCTTGTTATTAGCTTTAATAACTTTTACACTAATATTATAATAGTTCTTTAGAAAAAGGATAAAAATTATAAAAGCTTTAATAATTAATTTAGTAGGCTTATTATCTTTAAAGTAGAGGTCCTACTAAAGGCTAGAATACTTATTAGTAATTAGCATTTAACTTAACTTTTTTATAATGCTCTATGCTTTATATGCATAGAAATTAATTAACAGTCTTTTACTAGGTCTACTATTACTAATTTATAGTGTGTAGCTAATTTATTATTATATCTTAGCTCTGCTACATAAGTTATATTAAACTATTATAATTCCTTTAATTTACACCCCTTTAGCTTACTATATAAAGTGTTAAAGTGTAGCTAGTCTAAGGTGTCTAAGACGCTTATGCTATAGCTCTGCAGATGCTTTTTATAGACTATGTTTAGTTCTTATATTAATTATGTATGTATAATATAAGCTCTTTTATAGTAGATAGTACTTTAACACTTATTAACTATAGATCTTTATAAGATCTTTAATTATTATTCTATCTAAGGCCTTTAAAGTAGTTAGCTCTGCTTATGTGTCCTACTAGATTCCTCTCTATTATAGTAGGCAGAACAAGACTAGGTTGCACAGCAGGTCTAGGCACAGTGCAGTGTTATGTAGTATAAGACTGTATGCTTAACTATGTGTTCTATGCTTACTTTTTAAGCTTAGTATAATTAATCTATAGCTTTAAATTTATATATAAGAGTTTCTAGACTAGATAAAGTCTTTTAGTGTTAGTAAATAATAGTTATAGATTTAATTAAAATTATTTATAATATAGCATGTTAAGCTTAAGTTAAAGATAAATAATTCTCTTAGTAGATATCTATTCTAGTTTAAATTAACTATAGCTAGCAATGTAGCTGCCTTAACTCTTAATACTTTCTAGCTTTTAAGTTAGTCTTCTTATATCTCTAGTATAAGTGTATGTAAACTTTTTAAAATTAGTATTTTTAAATTATATCTACACTGCCCTTTAAGTAGGCCTTAAAATTTTAAGCTATGCTTATGCTTTAATGCTATAAGCTTTTTAACTCTTTTATTTAGCATCTACTAGTCTAGTGCTTTATCTAGATAGACATAAAAGCAGTCCTTTAGTGCATAGATGTGTCTGCATGTAGGATATTTAGTGCCTCTTGTTTTAGTAAGTTTCTAGCTTAAAAATAACTTCCTGTTATTTTTTTAATAATGTTAATGTTAAGGTCTACTTTATTTTCTTAATATTATAACTTTTGCACTATAAGTGTTTTTATTTATGCCCTAAGTAGTTTTCTTACTTTTAGTAAAGTATAACAAGTTATCTGTTATAAAGGTAGCTTTATGCTTTTTTATATATATTAGATAATTTAACATTATGTGTTTTTAAAAGTGCTTTATTATTATTTTTTAATTTATGTTTAGTGTAAACTGTCTACTTTTCTAAAAAGTTATAGACTAATAAGGGGCAACTTTATTTATAGTAGTTAGAAAGTCCTTTGTAACAGCATTAAACTACGTTGTTTCTAGAACATTTTATGTCTCTGCTTTTATAGCAGCGTTATTATACTCTGCTAGCTATAAGTTTTATATGCTTGCGTTTCTTAGCAGCTTTAAAGATGCATTATATTAGTTGTGCACATGTTCTTATTTAAATTAGTTGTTAACACCTACTGTAGCTTTAAAGTTTATAATCTACTGTCTAAGTAGTTAATCTAGGGAATAGCATGTACACTATAAATGCGGGCTAACTATTAACTAAATAAAGATAATAATCTGTTAAAGGCTTAATTACTCTCTTTTATAATTATGTCTGTTACTTTTATACTTGTTAGCTTTAATCTTATAGTATTTAATAGCTTCTTTAAAGGCTCTAACACTGCTTATTAATAGCTTATTTATGTGCGTAGGCGTTTTAACATTAAAGGCTAGTAAAAACTTAGCTATTAGCAGCATCTTTAAAGCTCTTAGTTTAGAGATTATTTAGATAGTTAACTTAGGATCCACTTGCGGCCAGATGCTGTGCGCTACACATCTTAATTGCAGCTGCATCATCCAGGCTCTGTAGTCGGTGTGGTCTCGAAGGACAACTGTCGCGTCTTAAGGAGGCTAGGTAGCCATTTTGTATTAATAGAGGCACTAAGACTTTTAATTGTTAGATTAAAGCACTGTTTCTAGGCTTCCTAAGATAAATAATAGGTTTAGATATAATGTATAGGATTATTAATTAATTATATTAATTATGTTAATTTATTAATTCTTTTTCTGCTCTACTTGTGTTGCTTAGCTTTTTGTTTTGCTAATCTAAGTCCCTTGCGCACTAGCCCTATGCGCGACTAGCTTGCAAAATGCTGCAATTTGCTGCAACATACTGTTCAAGCTTATTGCTTGTACTAGGTAGCAGCTTTCGTCAAGCGTTCCTCCTGTCTTGACAGTAGGTGCGCATATCTAACATCTAGCTGCGCTTAGAAATTGCAATAACTTAATTCTAAAGTAGATTTTTCTTTTTATACTAGTTTAAAAAGTAGTTGCTACTCTAGAAAATAATAAAAGGCAAAATAGCTTACCTTTTAGCATTAATGCTCTAAATAGCTGTTGTCTACTTCTAGTTACCTAGCTAGACTGCTTTTAGCTGTCCTTGTCTCTCTAAACCTGTAACAACTACTCTAGTAAATATCTAGCCTATTATAAACTCTATTTTATTAAAGTTGTATGTGTTGTTATTCTAGATGCTATACTTAGCTTTAATATTCTTTATAAGGTTAAACTAGCCTTAAATTACTGTAGGATCCTTATAAAAAGCTCTTTTATAGTTATACTTATGCTTAAACTTTACTTTAAGCTCTAAGTAACACTTAATAAACATATTAGGCTAGTTTATGCTAATATAGCCTATATTATGCTTAGTGCGCAAAGAATTAGCTATATTAGCTACAGCTGCTAGCTAGGGGGGAAATCCTTGCGCATCTAGCTTAAGTATGTGCTAAATAATTACCTGCTCTTTATTATTATCTAGCTTCTATAAGTTAGCTGTATAATTAGCTTAAAAAGGTTGTCTAGCGCGTTAGTTGCTTATTGTCTTTTAAAAGACCTTATAGATAGTTGCAGCGCGTTGCTTAAAAAGTGTTGCGTTTTATTTAAGAGCCTAGAGCGTAAGCTGCATTTAATGTTCCTTTAACACATCTAAGTAGTGTTGTTAGGAATGCATTAGTGTAGAAAGGGTAGTGTGGTAGGGTCTTAGCAAAAGTAAGCAACTTAGGTGTGTGAGCAACTCGCCCATGAATTACGTTAGAGATAAATGCGGTTTTTGTACTACGCCTGGCCTGCTGCTTTAAACATAGTCTACTGACTAACATTACATCTCCGATACGCCCTAGCTTCACCGTCAAACGTAAGCGCCCTTCGACCTTCCCAGCCCCTGCAGCCTGTAAGCCGATTAGATGTCCGGAAAGAACTACGTACTAGCCTTCTACAAGTATCGTTAGGAAATCAAAAAATCAAGCTCCTAAATGAATGTAGAGCGCCCAAACGCTGGGCCCACTGCCGTGCTCCTTGCGGACCTGTAGCACAGCGTCCCGCAGTGCTGCTGCGACGGCCCGATTCGGATCTGTAGTGCTGTTACGTCTTAAAAGAGATTTATAGAAAAGCTTGGCCACCCGGACGCAGACTTCGTCGCCGGCCGGCCACAGAGAACCAATGACATGAGCAAAGCCGGCAACCTGGAAGGCACTCGCCATGTGGATGCTTTCGTCCGCGAGAGACTTCACTCTGATCTCCGCCGTTGAGCAAGCCGATAGATAGGCTAACCACGCTCGGCCTTGCGGATTCGCGCCCATCAGAGCTGACACAGTAAGTCGGTCCACGACTGGGCCCGAATCACTGTTCTTCTGGAGGAGTAGGTGACTGTTGGAAGGGTCCATGAGATCTGCACATCCGTGACACGCAAAGTGCGCAATTTCGGATTCGTGAATACCTCTTAACGCCTCATCGGCAGTTGGGTGCTGCAGAGGAGGTCTGATGGTATAGGCCTGCTTGATCGTCTCCGCAATGGCCTCTTGCTCGCGAACCACTCCGCTCAGCGCGCTCTGGCCCGGTGTAGTCGGCATTGTAACAATCAGGACAGAAGTGTCTTTGCTGTTGAACTTCCCCACTGCTAGCGAACGTTTCCTAGCATTTCTAAGAGCTTTAATTGTCGGAGTGTATGACGGGATTATCTGGCCCAAGCAGCTCTCGGCTTCATTTATGTGACCGTTGTGATACTGACAAGCAGCGTGAAATGGAAGAGAGCTGGCAGCACCTGTCCCAATCCACCAGACTCGTTGGATTTTATCCGATGCGGGCGATGGACTGTAGCATGCCAGCTCCTGGAGCACCGGCTTAACGCAGGTTAACCAGAGCCATGATAGAAACTCGGCGCTGTGCTCCGGCTGAACGTCGCTCTCGATGTCCCGCTGGAAACCTCTATCATTGATCGCTCTATTCCTTCCGAGAGCCTTCTGGAAAGCCTCGGGAGCCTCGGAAGTAATCTCAGTTAGGGCTATAGCTTTGGGGCCGGATGGCAGGACAAGAATCGCGTCAGAGCCAATATCCGTGGCGTTAACAATGACGATCGGGCCCTCACTGGCGCACGCTGTGAGCTCTTCTGTGGATGGTGGCTGGAGAAAATGCTCAAATCCCGGTTCCTTGCGGATCCGGCGTTCGCAGTCTCCTAACTGGCGTTCGGCTTCTTGGCGCGCTCTAGACAGCTGCTCTCGGATTGCTCGCTCGTCGCTGTCGACCTGCCGAAATGCCTCTAAGCGAAGCCGCTCATATTCCTTGGCTAGGTTCAGATGCGTCTTTTTCAGCTCAGATAGATCGCTCTGACCGTCGATCAGGTATCCGAGAATGAATCCGCGTCCGAATTCGATCCTGCGAAGCGCTTCGTCAACATCCCCTTTCTGGAGGGATAGAGAACATGCATCTGCAGCCAGGCCCGAGGTCTGTCGCACAGCATGCAGTTGGTCGTCACGGGATAAGAAGCGACTACACACGCGAGGAAGAAGGTTCACAGCAGTCTCTGAAACAATGTGGGCTTGATCCCAGTGGCCATTCCTAGTGAGGATTCGAAGAGCTTGCCGGGCACCTCGAATGCGCTCCAAAGGGGCCGATGCCAAGCATTGACTAGATTGTAAGAAAGCGTCCAGTGCCGCGCACTCATCCTCCGCATCTCCCGTCCTCTGGTATCTATCGGACAGCTTGATCCCGAAGCTATGTAGACATATCGCTCGGTTGGAATGGTTAAAGGGGGTGGAGGCTACGGCTTCTTCGGCCCTCGAGATAGCTGCGTCCAGGTCGTCCGCATGTCCCGTCCTCCAATATCTAGCAGCTAGCCAGTTTCCGACGTTATGTAGACGCATTGCTCGGTCGGAGTGGGTAAGAGGAGTGGACGTCAGCGCTTCTTCGGCCTTCGAGACGGCTGCGTCCAGGTCGTCTCCGTTTCCCGTACTCGCATACCTTGCAGCTAGCCCATTCCCAAGGTTATTTAGATGTGCTGCTCGGTTGGAGTGGGTAAGAGGAGTGGACGCCAGCGCTTCTTCGGCCTTTGAGATGGCCACATCCAGGTTGTCTGCATTTCCCCTCCTCTGGTATCGATCTGATAGGATGACCGCTAGGTTACTTAGATACATCGCCCGGCCGGGGTAGCTAAGAGGGGTGGAGGTCAGCGCTTCTTCGGTCTTCGAGACGGCAGCTTCCAGGTCATCTGCATTTCCCGTCCTCTTGAACCTATCAAATACCTTTATCCCGAGGTTACTAAGATACATTGCTCTGTTAGAGTGGCCAAGAGGAGTGGACGCCACGGCTTCTTCGGCCTTCGAGATGGCAGTGTCCAGGTCGTCCGCATTTCCCGTCCTCTGATATCTAGCAGCTAGTGAGTTTCCGAGGCTATTTAGACGCATCCCTCGGTCGAAGTGGTTAAGAGGAGTGAATGCCACGGCTTCTTCAGCCTTCGAGATGGCAGCGTCCAAGTCGTCCGCATTTCCCGAACTCGTGTATCTATTGTATAGCCTGTTCCCAAGGTTATGTAGATACATCACTCGCCTAGAGGAGTTAAGGGGCATGGAGGCCACGGCTTCTTCGGCCTTCGAGATGGCAGCGTCCAGGTCGTCTGCATTTCCCGTCCTCGTGTATCTAGCAGCTAGCCAGCTTCCGAGGTTATTTAGATGCATCGCTCGGTTGGAGTGGGTTAGAGGAGTGGACTCCAGCGCTTCTTCGGCCTTTGAGATGGCAGTGTCCAGGTCGCCTGCATTTCCCGTCCTCTCATATCTAAAAGCCAGCCCTTTCCCGAGGTTATGTAGATACATCGCTCGATCGGAGTGGTTAAGAGGAGTGGACGCCAGCGCTTCGTCGGCCTTCGAGATGGCCGCGTCCAAGTCGTCTGCATTTCCCCTCCTTTGGTATCGATCGGATAGGAGGACCCCGAGGTTACTTATATACATTGCTCGGTT